TGTTCTGTACATTAAGAGATGGCATTGGCTGAGCGTTCTTCTCATTGGATTCCAAATGCCTTGCTTGGTCCTCTGCAATTTTCCCACCAGATCTATCCTGATTACTTCCTCCTGCAGGAAGAAGTTGCTGCTGCAACTGCAATTCAAGGGGCGGCGGAGCAATAGCTCGAAGAAGCTCTTGGGGAAGTGTACCTTCTCCTTTCTGCCAAGTAACAAAGAAGGCAATGATATCATCAACTCAGAACTCATTAACTAAAATTAATCTGCTTATTTTTTTTTCAAAAAAAAAAGTAACTAAAAATAATCTGCTTATTGAAAGACAAAAAGAAAAAAAAAAAGCACATAAGGTGGCAAGAAAAGAAGAGAGCACTTGAGAGATAGAACTAGCTTCAGACCTTCAGTCGCCTAAATGCTAGTATTTGCGCTTTAAGAACATGCAATTGCTGTTTAGTGAACCCAACCCGCTGTTGTGCCATTTGGACAGAAGGCCCTCCTTGTGGTGGAAAGTGATTGTTTGATCCTCCTTCATTAGAAGGACCAGCAGACTGAGGAGAAGATCGATTCACTTGCTTAAGATGCTGCATTTGTAAAGTTTCTGGACTACTAAATGAATTTTTTGCAGGCAAAGTCTGATCAGCACCTTGGCTCATGTTTGCAGATGACTGAGGGGGATGCATAGGAGGCATTCCATTTCCAAGCACAGGCCCAGTTCTAGCAGGCACTTGGTTCTCTCTACTGTGAAAAGCAAGCTGTTGCCCTGCAGGGTTGTTAGCACTGCTGACCATCCCTGCATTGGGATTTGGGCCAAAGGGGCCAGATGGAACACCCTGTCTTGCCTTAGGAGGGCCAGACTGCCCAGATGCATCACTGGAGGAATTAGCATGTGGAGAACTCTCACTGGCAACAGGTGGAGAAGCAACTTGATGCTTTGACACAGACACAGGAACAGACGATGCCTGTAGACCAGCACTGCTTTCATTGGCCTTTTGCTGCGCAGCCATCCTTGACTGCATGAGTGGAATGAGCTGCGACATGAAGTTTGCATTTCCAGGTTGTGACAGATCAATGTTGCGCTCAAGTGCCCATGCATGCATAGCTTGCAACTGGGCAGCCATTGCGAGCTGGTTGTTTGCCATAGTTTGGACGCTTTGTGGAGCCTGTGGTGCTTGCATGGGCCTTATGACATTACCAGGCATTACTTGTCCAATAACAGGAGTTTGTGTCGGAGGCTTTTGCTCATTTCTCTGTTCAGATGCTAGCTGTGGAGCTTGCTCCACCTGCTTTTCACTACGCGAAAAGTTCTCAGATGAGTTTCTGGAGGATGATGCCTGAGCATGATTAGCTGCCTGCATGGACATAAGTTCCTGCATTTTCAAATTCCCCACTCGCATGTCCTGATCCTTGCTGGTGGCAGAACCCAAAATTCCCATTTTAGCAGCTTGTTGTGACTGCATTGCCAAAGCAGACTTTTGTTGCTGAAAAGCAAACTGAAGATATGCCTGCTGAACGGGATTCAGCAATTGTTGCTCAGCAGACTGATTCCTATTCTGTCCATCCTGGGAGGAGCCATGCTGCTGAGCCAAATCAAAGAATTTCCTGGATTGTTGAGGCATTTGCATTGAGCCTGGAGAGGAAGCAAAATTGCTTCCTCCCATAACTCCTTGAAGAGCAGCTTGATAGGCTAGAAGAGCTTCACTTCCTTCAGGTTTTCTAAGTAATTGGTGTTGCAATGCCTGCATGGACAGCATAAAATATATAAGATTAAAAAAAAAGTTCAAAATCATATTTAATTATTGTTACTATGATGCTTATTACTATTACTGCTACTTGATACTTGATAAGGATGCCTTAGAACATAGAATGTAATTATACAAATCACCAGCTTCCAACAACCGGCTAAAATTTAACCGCAATAAACCAACTGAACTCCAAAAAAGTGAATGTTATTCAAAACTCTCAAGAAAGCAAAGAACAAAACAGAAAGCACCCTAATTCAATGCACATGGTTGCTAGCAGATTTATTATTATACAAATTACAGCGCACACAAGGCCAGGGAAAATGACTGAGAAAGATAATCCTTCCATCCAGAAATAGCAAGTAAAGCAAAGACAATAAAGGAAAATACTTGGCATGCAACCAAATTCAAAATTATTAAATGGAGTCAACCACAAACAACAGAATTGGAAAGAGTCAGAAAAATAACCCGAGATCATTCCTCCAATTGTACTTATCAGACAAAAAGGTGGAGAAAGAACATAAAACAAAATCAGAAAAGACAGGAATACAGGGTTGCATGGTACACAAAAATGATCGCCCATGGCATCAGATAATAAGGATAACTAAAAAGTAGCATCCATCCCGAGCGGACTCCATGTATTTGTAGTGATAAAACTTGCTAGAATCCAGAAAGAGCTCGGGGTTGATGCATAATTATAGCTAAGCAGCTGAAAGTTTAATTTGAGTCTGTCCAAAATTAGTTCATGCCTAGTTGGCCCCCTCTAGCCTCTGGGACACTTAAAAACTTACAGATTGATCAGAATTCAACCAAGTACCCAACTAATCATTTGCATTAACTACTAAATTCACTGATCACGCATCAATGATATCTTATCTATCACGCATTTCAGACCTACTTCTGTACAAATATCCTTAAATTGCAAACCCCAATGCGAAATCAAACAAATTCTATTCATAATCAAATAGAACTCACAAACCCCTACCTGCCTAGACCCTAATTGCTGCTGCTGTTGTTGCTGCTGTTGCTGTTGCTGTTGCTGCTGTACTGAGTCGAACCCTAACTGTGGTGTCGATACTGCAGAGGAGGAAGAAGATGGCGATGCTGCTGATGACGTGGACGCCGCCCGACCAGCCGGTCCCACCCGGCTGGGTCCACCACCACCACCAGCAGATTGCATGCAAAATTAATACCAAAATATATTACCAATTTTTAAGAATTTGGGCCAGAAAAAGGAAAATCAGAAAAAAAGCTGAAAGAGAGTAGAAATGGAGGAAAAAGCCAAATCCCTCCAAAATTTTAACAAAACCCCAATTTTACCCTCCCGATCCCAAAGTTCAAAACATACACAACAGCTGTAGTTTCTCTGTGTCTCTCTAGGTTTCCTTTTTTTTTATTTTTGTCAAATTTTCTCTCACTTCAAAAAAAAAAAAATAAAAAACGATAATTGCGGAGTGGAAATGGAGATGGATCTGAGGAAGGACAGAGAGAGATCGGCGATTCCAGTAGTGACTCACTACGACTCTCTGAGCTGTTGTAGGCTTCACGCGATTGGAGGTGCAATTTTCCTTTTTCTATTTTTCCTTTTTTTTTTTTTTTTGGGCTTTCCACGCGATTTGGAGGTGCAATTTTCCTTTTTCTTATTTTTTTCCTTTTTTTTTTTTTATTTTTCCTTTTTTTTTTTTTTTTCCTCAGTCAAGCCCTAGGATTTGTTGCATTTTATTTATTTTTTTTTTACGAATGAGAGAGTTTTTTTCTTTTTCTTTTTCTTTTTTTTTTATTTTTTTAAGGGTTAATATTATCTCAGAGTTGGTAATGAATGAGCCTTATGGCGTTTTAAGCAGAGAGGGCGGGGTCCACGTGCCCAGGCTACAGTTAGAAATTCAGAAATGGGGGCGGCAGTGGGCATTCATTTAACCTTATAAAATGGTCATAATTACAGTCTGAGTCCATTCTCCATAAGACCAAAATATAGCTGCTCTCTCGCTCGCAGCACTCTTCTACAGAAAGAAGAAGGGTCAAACCTTAATATTTGATAAATTGATGATAAAATTGTAAATTGCAAATTGCTCGATGATAATATATGTAAAGTGCATTAATTTTAGTAATTTCATTCGAGATTAAAGTGCTTCTAATAAATGGGGGGAAATTTTCATTTATAATTTTTTAATTTTTTTGGCCGATTCTTCCACTTACGGAGAAGTGCTGAAAAATAGTATCATGCGTGCGTTGGAAGGCTTTTAAACCGGGTCCACCACTGTCTTTTATAAAGCAAAATAATATTCCACGTTACTAGTATTTTCACGTTATTTTATCCAATTTCACTATAGCAAGTAATTGGTGAATTGTGTAGATTTATCTTTATACTTTTCAAAACATATTTATTTTATTTTGTAATATTGTAAAATACTTTTTTTTTTTTTTAATATTGAAGAAGATAACACTAGACTGTACCTTGTGTACATTTATAAATTTAAATTAATTAAATACTTATTTGATAATTTAAGAATATGAAAATTATTGTTATAAAAGTTATACCAATTACAAATCATATCAATAATTTATTATGATATAAATTAAATTAATTGTTTAAAATAAGTTAGTGATACTTGGTCTTTTTTTTCACTTATATGGGAGTATCTGATTTGTTTTTTGGTGATATGTGATGATCTTACATCAATTACAACTTTCCACAAGTGCTTTTAAATCAAAGCCATATATAATCATGCATAGATACATGGAATTTAAAAAAAAAAAAAAAAAAAAATGGAAATTTAAAAAAAAAAAAAAAAAAACGCATGTTTATTTCTGTATTATTCCAGTGTAAATTATTAAAAAAAAAAAAAAAACCAAAAGAAACTGACGTTTTCCGAATAGGTTAGAAAATTAACGTGGAATTGAAAACTAATAGCGCAAAGACAAGAGAAAGTCTGAAAAAGACAAAAGAGAAAAAAAAAAAAAAAAAAAAGCTCGGAAGGTATTGATAGAACGCGTTAATGTATAATAAGTAAAAACACATCATATCAACGCAAGCAAAATTTTTGATGAGTTTTTTGGCAGAATTAAAAAAAAAAAAAAAAAAAAAAAAGCTCGGAAGGTATTGATAGAACGCGTTATGTATAATAAGTAAAAACACATCATATCAACCAAAGCAAAATTTTGATGAGTTTTGGCAGAATTAAATGATTGCAATTTCTGAAACCACATGTATGCATATTTGGGCTTCGCCTGCTGCAACAATAACAAAAGCAAATGAACACAAAAATGGATACAGTTTCAGGAATTTGCTGCTGAAAATTGTGTCCGATTCAAATTGGCACTAAGGGCCTGCTAAATTCAGTCTTGGCTTTGGAGACCACATAACATAAAAGTAAAACTCCTAGTAAAAATCTCAATGGATACATGAGATGTTCAAATAAAAAGGAGAATAGCATGGTAAAAGTCTAGCTTCTAGATGCTACTAGGCATTGGGTTTCCGTTTCTTTGGCACCCGGTAACTACCAACCACGCAAGCATGATCTCGCTCATAATCTCCTAGTGTCACCATCTCTATAGGCTTCAAAAGATCCACCTTCAATTTCTCCACCTCCTTATCATATACCTCTTCAGCACTGAGAGTGGAGTCGATGCAATTTGCCTGAAAAGTAATATAGGAGAAAATGTTGACAATTTCAACAACATCACAGCCACCAGAGACCACATTTTTGTGCTTTTTGTTGTTTTTATATCAACAGAAAAGCACGAATATGTATTAAGAGAGTGTAAACAGCAAACCTTAATTGATAGAATATAATGGCCTCCTACTTTGAGGAAATAAGCTGCATTCAGAGCTAAAATTCTTGCCTGAAAACAAAGGGAAACAATAGCAAAAAAGGGAAATGCTAATGCCACATGCATAAACACATCCATTGTCCTAAAATATGTTCGCACTTACGATTGTCCAGGAACATTTGAAAATGGCGGCACTTATGAATAAGAGGAGACTGACTCCAAGAGGATAAAATACACAGAATAAGATGCTCATTAATTAGCATATAACCAAACTATCAACAGAGTTTTCATAGGTTCCTACGAGTCGATATCTCAGGCAATTCTTTGACACATGGAGTTAACAAGCTCCTAATTATATTATACAACAACTGAGTACTTAAGCTTCTTTAATAAAGGAAGCTTGCTTCAGCTACAATGAACAATCAGTATGCACTGCTGAAACAAATGCACGATCCTAGATAAAACTATAAATCCAATTTTCAAAACTTTCTATTAAAATTATGAAAACTTAAAAGAAAACTCTGCAAAAAAAAAAAATAATAATAATAATATCAAAATTTAGAAATCATTGCATCAGAAACTCAGACATTCCATCATTACAGATCCCTGAGTAAACCATCACATGCATGATTATACAAAAACAGGACAGAAGCGATTAATATATTGCAATTCCACACGGCCAAACAAGATTTGTAATATGGAAATCCAAAATTTTAGTATCTAACACAGATCGAACAAACAAGAAGATCGCAAAAGCTTAAGAAGAGCAAACCTGATCAGGCTGAGCAACATCAGAGAAAATGACATCTACCATGCCAACCAACATTCGGTACTTCGATGGATGTCTAGCATCCTCAATAATGGGGATAACATTAGTCCTTTTTTTGGCCATGTTTACTAAGTCTCTCCCACTTCTGTTAGAAAATTCAACTGCATATACCACTCCCGTCTATATTGTATAGAGCATATATGACAGGACGAGATAAGATCATTTCAGCTAATAGCAATCTAAAAAAATAGAGAGCAGAATATATTTCATTCAAGAGAAGTGGGTTTTATAGCCCACTCACAGGTCCAACAATGTCAGATACATGAGAGACAGATGTTCCTGAAGCAGCTCCAAGGTAAAGAACTCGAGTACCAGGTGCCTTAAAATTGTAATAATATTAATAAATACAAAATTAATCGGAACTACAATTAACCAGAAACAAATTTCATATGGTACTTACAATCCAGATGTCATCAATACCGGCCAAAATTGCAGCCCCCAATTTTGATCGGAATGGATTCCACACCCTGTATTCTGCTTTGCTTTTATCTTCATCGTTCTAAGAAAATAGAATAAAATAAATAGAGTTTGATAAATAAGTCAGAATAAAAATTATGAGATAACATTAATTCCAGATGGGCTAATCAATGCTAAAAAAATCATATATCGAGAATAGCTATGGTAACTTAAAGCACAAGATAATAATAATTGCTGTTATAATTTGATAAAAAGAAATAAAAACCTGAACAATGATGCGTTTCTCGTTGTAAACAGATTCACCAGGGACCATGCTCTTGGTAACAAGAGCATCGTCTTTACTACCCTTGGCAATAAAAACCCCTTCATGTCTATGTGGAACGATTACCGCCTTACTTTCACCTATCATCCTTCCTGCACCAGCATTTTTGCCCCTGCCTCCACCGCGCCCTCTTCCACCACCTCTGCCTCCATCACGGCCTCTTCCACCACCTCCGCCTCCACCACGGCCTCTTCCACCACTAAAGCCACCTCGGCCTCTGCCCCCAACAGCTCCACCACGGCCTAAGTTTTTGAGAATAAAAAGAGCAAACAGAAGAAAAAAATAGTATTATGCATGTTAAAACTGATCAAGAAGTGACATGAACGCAGTAAAATAATATTAAATTATACTACACCAAACATAGCATTCTATATTTTTTCTACTTTTTTTTTTTTTTTTTCACACAAAGAAGGGATGTTTTTTCTACCTCTTGGAGGTCTCATTGTTGAGTCTTGAAGGTCTGAAGACTTTAAACGCAACGGACTGAGACTGTAAGTAGAAGATAGAGAGAATAAAGGACCCTTTTATAGGCGATGAAAAATTAGGTGCAGGTTAGGGTTTTCTTTTTCATGACAGGTTAAGCGAGAACAGCGTGATCAGTTCTTGTTATAGCAAAATACGTCTACAGTCCTTTGCTCTACCAACTGAGCTAAGGACGCTTATTTAGTTAATTATTATAATTACTAGGTCAGTGTCATGGAAAAACGGCCCGACCACAAGCCGGGCCTCCAGCCCAAAATCCACTGTTCATCCGTTTAATTATAAATATAGGCCCGTTGAATTAATAAGCCTATCCTATTGAAACCTACTGCATCAAACAATTTGCAGGGCCATATCCAAATGCATGATGAGCCTTGATTTTGAAACCGAAAATTTTCCCGCTGGATCTAACCTCTTTTTGTGCTTTTGGGTGCCTTTGGGTTTTTGACCAATTCCTGATCAATTGTCCGATAAGATTAGCAATCTGAGAAATTGGAGTAATCTTTCTTTGCCATTTTCGGGGTTATGACACAGAAGTAGTAGTTTTCTGTCTCTTTAGTATAAAATTTATTAGGATCAACATAAGATAGGATATATTTGATCTTAATTGCACTTGAATCCAGTGAAATGAATGAATAAAGGAAGTTTCTCCTATTATGATTGGAAATAAGTAGATGTTAATGGATTATCAGTTGATGAGGTCTTAATTCCTTATTCATTGAAGATGATACATATATATTTTTTAAGGTTGAAGTAATTTTAGAATATGCTTTTCCAAATATAGTGTATTATTGTTTTGGTGATTCCAGGGAACGGACCTGCAATATTTCAAATTCAGTATAAAATTCCAAATAGAAAAAAAAAAAAAAGGAACATATACATCTTCCAAGAAAAAAAAAAATCAAGAACATCTGCAGGTTTTAAATGATATAGTAATGAGGAAGATTAAGGAGAATGAGTGGAAAGGCCGATGGCGAGTTGTTATATTACATAACCCATAAGTTAGATTTACAGTAAATTGATTTTGCAATAAAGGAGGATTCCTGGAAAACTACAACTCTTGTTGCACATGTTCATTGTCCTTGGAGGGAGTAGTAACATTACCCTTCACCTTCTCACTTCGAAGCTGCTCAATAACTTCTTCCAAAGGAGGGTCTCCAGGCCTACGGTAGACTTTATCCCCGATCTTTATCTCATAAGATTCAGGTTCATTGAATATGAATTCCTTCAACTGGGTTAGAAGAAAGACGGGAAAGAAAGATGGGTGCTAAATGAATATATTATCAGATGTTAATTGCATACCAAACCAAAAACATAGATTAAGAACTAACAAAGATTAAAAGAACTAAATTAGGAATCACTCACCTCCTTCGTATGTCGGGCTTTTTCCAGGTTGAACATGATTGTGCTGCTATCGACACCTGTGAACTTCACCCCAATTGCACCAGTTCTTAGAACTTTGGTCCATTTCATAGCAATCTCAGCTACCGTATCCTGAAATCCAGGTAAAGCCGTTTCACAATTCTTTGAACTTTGAATTCATAACAACCCATTTCCTACAATTTCAATCAATTCACCTCGAATTCCATAAATCCTATCAATATTTCTAATTCCATACCCAAGAAAAATGAAAAATCTAAGTAGATCAGGAAAAAAATTGAAGAATCATAGGTATACCTCACTCTGCTTAAGAGTGCGCTTTTAGCCAAAAATAGCAAAGCATCAAAATTCAATTTACCTGAGTACGGCGAACACCCAAACGAAGCTTAACGAATCCAAAAACCTGCCCGTATTGCTGCTTCTTCATAAATTCCTGGATCTGCCATACGTCCATTTTGTCCAACTCGGACGGTGGTAGATCAGATTCATCAGAAGAGCGCGTTGATGGCTGGCCCCATTGCTTCCAGGCCTCATCCTCCTCGTCGTCAATCACGCCGTCGAGATCGTCCGTTATGTGGATTTTGCGCTTCCCACCCTCGGCGAATCGGAAAAGCTGGCCATTTTGGGAAAAGATTAAGGGCAGAAGTAGGAGAGTGATAATGTGAAGGTTGGTCATGATTAATGTGTGAAATTGGGCAAACGCTTAATAGAGTTTGGATTTTATATATATAGGTTTTGCGAGATGATGACCGTGACTATTATGTCATTGGGCTTGGGCTGGTATTGGACTTGAGCAAAGTGTAAATAACAAAGGGAACATAATATGTAAGGAAGCCCACTTGCTGTCTTCCATCAAACTCTCGTGTTTTCCTCCTCAAACGACCGGTTGAAACGAGTTGTCGTTGTTTTCTTGAATTACTTGAAGCCTTGAACTTCAATGGCATCTCATCGGCCGAAATGACCAGTCGTTTCCAAATGCTGACGAGAATAACGATTCTATAGCTTTCAGAGCCGATTTGCAGATGCTTTATTACGCAAGCTTGCTTTAATATACGGTTCCGAAGCTGGTTTAGTAGATAAATGTTACAATGTTTTTGGGAAAGCTAAGCCTTAAAGTATGCTGGTTTTTTTTCTTTTTTCTCCATATAAATGGAAGTTCCTTGAGAAAATAAAAAATAAAGGGGCAAAATAAAAGTTATATTCGAAAAACGAAAAACTAAATTTCCGACCTGCCTATTCGAACCAGCGACCTAAGGATGACAGCTTTGTACGACTACAGTCCTCCGCTCTACCAACTGAGCTAAGGTCGGTTGGTTGAAGAGTTAATTTCCAGAATCATTATAGATATATTATATGGTTCAGGAAAAGCTTTGAATGTTACTGGGAAAAGCATCTGGCTTTTTTTTGACTTTTCTCCGTATAAATGGAAATTCTTGAGAAAATAAAAGACAATATTCGACAAAATTAAATATCCGACCTGCCGTTTTCGAACCAGCGACCTAAGGATGACAATTTTTTACAACTACAGTCCTCCGCTCTACCAACTGAGCTAAGGTCGGCTGCTGAGCAATATTAACATAAATTGATAATAACTGATGTTTCAGTGCAGGCCTAAATGCTCAATGTGTAATTTACCTTGTCGCCCCGTGCTTTTTTCTGTTTTTTTTTTAACCTTGAATGCCCTTTGATTTTCATTTTTCATCCATTCTTTGCAGTTGACTTTGATATCTAGTTTCCTTCCAATCCCAATGCAGCTTATACTAGATATCTGACAATTTGAGGTTATCTTTCTTCAACATTTTCAGGGCAATTTCTTAACTTTAACAGCAAAAGAAGTTGAAAGAGAATAGTAATTTTCTGTCTCCTTCATCATAGCTGACAATTCCCTCCTCGGAATTTCATGTGTTCCGGAAAACAACTGAGGGGATATTCATTCTCATTTGCACTTCAATCCAGTGAAATAAATGAGTGTGGAGGATTCTTTTATGTCCAGTGTATATGTAATGAAATCATGACTAGGAGTGGGAAGATGTTGATGGATTATCAGTTGCGGAGTCATTAATGACTCTTCCGTTGAAGATGAGATTTTTCTTTTCTTTTTTCTTTTTCATTGAAGACGAGTCATTACTGGGACAAATGGGCAATTGAGAATTAACTGATGCCATATTATAGAACTTCAATCAGATAATTGAGCTTTATGATCAATCAATGCTTGGGATATATAATTTTAACTCAAAAGAGTAACAAGTACACAGGTAAACTAGTAAATGGTTACACGAGAGATTTAGCATTTTATTATTTATCAATCCGTTTGCAAAAAAAAAAAAAAAAAAAAAAAGAACTTTCAAATCAGATAATTGAGCTTTAGATCAAATTCAATAGCTTGGAAATATATAATTTTAAACTCAAAGAGTAACAAGTACACAAGGTAAACTAAGTAATGTTTACAACCGAGATTAGGGCATTTTATTTATTATCATCCGTTTGGCAAAAAAAAAAAAAAAAAATTAGTTCCAACCTGAAAACTGGGGTGCATATTTTCAAAAAAAAAAAAAAAAAAAAAATTAGTCAACTGAAACTGGTTGCATATTTTCAGCTTCTTGCCTCAGTTCTTGGAAAAGGACAGATGATAAGTATCGTTCGCCAAAACTTGGATGAATTGTCTGAAATTCAAAACAGCAAATTAGTTGATCAAATAATTTGTATTTGAAGCAATCAAGACACAATTATCACAAGCTTTAGTCATCAAATCATAAATATTTAGACAGATGAATCTTAGAACAAAGAATACTCGTTAGAAAGCATGTTTTACCTACTTTCATTTTTTTTTTTCTTTATTTAAATATGAATCCCCATTTATTCAAAGAAAATAAGCAATAAGGAATAAGCAGCAAACATAGTTTTTTTGTCAAAAATCAGCAGGTCACATCCCCGTTATCCGCATCAAAGCATTTGCATAATTAGATCCCACATTAGAGATGGGGTGGAGTTATTTATTCTCACCACAATGAGTTTGCCTCTGTTCTCTGGCATTCTAGCAAGTCTAAGTGCAGCAACTGTGTTGGCTCCAGAAGAAATTCCCACCTACACAAACCATAGTGTTAGAACACAAGCTCACTCAACAATTACAACAGAAGAATCAAAACTTGGAAGTAAATCTATGGATCGAGTTATTACCATAAGCCCCTCCTCCAATGCCAATCTTCTAGCCATATTTACTGCATCTTCACTACTAACCTGCCATTTAAGCATTGTAATGTAAGTTTGTCATATAAATTTCAAACATTAAAGATGCCTTTCATTTCATTCTTCTACATTCTTATCTCTGCTTCTACACAGAAATACTTACCTCGAGAACTTTTTCCATTACATCCATGTCCAATATGTCTGGTTTGAATCCAACCCCATTTCCAGTAATATGATGAGGACCTGTTTATGTTGAAACAATATCTGAGATTGCAACTTCTCCATCCAGGGCAAGGGCTAATAAGGATTTTACACCTACTAAAAACTCTATTTTGGTCCCTTGAAAAATGATAAAATCCTTACCTGGTTTACCACCATTCAGCACATTACTTTCAGCAGGCTCCACTCCATATATCTACCATGATACAACCAATTTTAAAACATTGTGGAAGAGATAAAACCAAATAGCTTGCAGCAATTTAATTACATACCTTGACATTAGGATTTTGGGATTTAAGGTACTGCCCAACGCCGGAGACTGTTCCCCCACTGCCTATTCCCATTACAAAGATGTCAACTTGTCCAAGTGTATCCTCCCATATTTCAGGACCTGTAGTTTCAAAATGGATCTGTTTTCCCATTTTAAGGTCAGAAATCAATTTAACATTTACTAATTTGGAAATTTGATGATTCAATTTAAAATTGTGCACCTTAGTATTTGCTGGATTTGCAAATTGTTGTAGCATGAAAGCATTTGGTGTGGATTCCAAAAGATCATAGGCTTTCTTAACTGTTCCTCCCATTCCCTTGGTGGGATCAGTGAGAATTAGCTCAGCTCCAAACGCTCTCATAGTCACTCTCCTCTCCAAGCTTGTGTACGAGGGCATAGTTAAAACCATCTTGTACCCTTTCATGGCTGCCATAAATGCCATACTAATACCCATATTACCAGATGTTGGCTCTATCAAGGTAGTCTAATAAAACACAAAACACATAATTTAGAGACCAAAAAAAAAAAAAAATAAATAAAAAATACAGATGTAGATGATTTATGGGAAAAAAAAAAAAAAATTGAGCAGACCTTTCCAGGAGTGATTAAATTCTTCTGTTCTGCATCATTGATCATTGAAAAGGCTGGTCTGTGCAGGAAGTAAGTATAATTTTATCATCTAATTTTGACCGTTAGAATATTTTCAAACAATTTAAACGAAAGATAGAAAATAACCAAATAAATACGTACCTGTCTTTGATACTGGCAGTTGGTTGCATCATCTCTTGCTTGACAGCAATATATGCTCCACATCCATCAGTCACTCTGTTAAGATATACCAGGGGAGTTCTCCCAATGAGCTGAAATATTTTTTTAAGAAAAAAAATCAGTGAAGAAACAGAAAATAAGTCTTGAGTAGCATATGGTTTCAGAAAAATTCCCCAGAAATTAAAGAAAGTAACTGATAGTGATTCCTTCACAGCAGGTTATAAAACAAAATCAAGATAAAAGCATTAACGATTGGAGTAGAAAATAAAGGAACAAAAAAAGACAAGAGTATCAATCTGATTTCACTGAAAAGAATGATCGATCATATACAAAATCAAACGTTCATCAGGAATAAATCATAGAGATGACAGATAAAAAAGGAAAATAGAAAAGCCAGAAAAGGCCAAGAATTATTAGAATAAAATGATAGGATCAAGGCAGAAAGAGAGAATTACTTGAGAAACTTCAGTCTTGATTTTAGTTCCAGGAAGTTTTTTGGGCAGATCCCTGACTCTTTGAGCAAAAGAAGAAGAATCAACAGCTGCTTCGCCGGAGAACAATCTCCGCAGTGGAAGCTCGTTGCATGTTAAAGCTTTTTTCTTCAAGAAATTCCTAAAAGCAGCCATTGCAGGAGACTTGAGAAAATCTTAGCACCCTTACACTATGACAGGCCAAGCAGCCCCTAGCAGTGGATAAAGAGTCAAGCGCGGAGGACGGGCATTAAGACATCCTTTATATAACGTTGTTTTCCGGAATTGTATGGATAATAAAATATATGCTTACTTCGAAAATTAATACGTAGGCACTCACTTCATATCAGTTTCAAATATTATTTATAAAAATATTTTCCTATCAAATTTTTTTATCATTTTCATATTTTATATTTTCTTTTGCATTGTGCCTATATGAATTGGATAGATGCTTAAAATTAATTTTTTCTCTTGAAAAAAATTAAAAAACTTTTTTTTTCAAAAATAAAAAGATATAAAATAACAAAAATAGAGGTTGCAGCATCAAATAATTGCTCATTTTGTCGATTTCTTTAAGCAGCCATACAGAATGGACAAATACCAAACCCGGAAATCCTTGAGTTGAATGTGGGCCTTCAGCCAGTGGTTCATTGCATGTGATGACCCTTTTGATGGTGACAACACAATCAATTCTTTTAGCAAACGCTAGAGAATTTGACACTCTACCATCCCAATACCTGTTCATTAATTTATATAACTCATCTACATTATTATTTTTTTTAAGTTCACACATAAATAACAGAAACTAAATTATTTATAAAATATTATTTAAAATGTAAAAATTATTTCCCAAAGGCAATTGAAATTTAAATTAATTAGTGAAAGAATTATGATTCTTTTTTCAAGGGTCAAAACAAAATATTTGAGTTTTGATTTAACACGGATTAAAATATAAATTGTTTCTCAAAGTTGGATTTATTAACACTATAATTTTTTTAATGTAACTTTAAATTATTTAATTAAATAAAAAGATAAACAAATGAATAGTTTTAAATGATATAATTTGGGTATGAATGAATATAAAAAATCAAGCTATACTTTCTAAGAAAAATTTAAGCTATTTATTTATAATATTTTAATCTATATATTTATTTATTATGAGTGGCAAAAATTAAAATAAGTAAAAATGTAATTGCAAAAACAGTGATTTGTGGTAAGTGAGATTCAAATTCGAGTTCTATGGAATCAAAGTGGTGAATCAATGCCGCTAAACTACTAGGAAATTATTTTGAATATTTTCTTTTTTTTTTTTTTTTTTTTAATCAAAGTGTGAATCAATGCCGCTAAACTACTTAGGAAATTTATTTTGAATATTATTCCTTTTTTTTTTTTTTTTTTTTTGAAGGATTATTTTGGTATTTTTCTGTAGTTAAATATTTTATGGAAACCGCCTCCAGCCGGCTCATTTATTGTTAATGCAGAGGAAAGGAATTTCAAAAATTTAATTCTTTTACTACAATTAAATAAACATATTTGTGATTAAATAAGAAGTGACCCCTTTCAAGTTTCACATGCCTCTGCAAGCCTATTAGACGGTGGCGGAACGTTGAAATCAAAAATTAGGGGGAAATTTAATTTAGGAGGGGAAAATAAAAAAAAAAAAAAAAAAAAAATACTACGATTTATCTCTTAAAACAAAACTGTTTAGCTTAATTATACAACGCCATCTAGAACAAAGCAATGGGAAAGGAGACAGATTCTTGTATGGAAATATCATTAATACAGAGATTCTTTTTGGCATTTTCTGATTGCTTCTTTGTTTGAACTTTAAACATTCATTTTCTTCTTCTTCTTTTTTTTTTATTTTTTCCCTATAGAAAAAGGTCAAAAAGAAATAGATTAGTATTTTAAATAATTTAAAATAAATATGGCATTAAATCAATTATCTCTATATCCAATGGGTCAATTTGATTCTCTTTTCTGTTTCTTTCTTTCTGAGCACCAAACAGAACCAGTTATCTGTTCTTCTTCTACGACAAAAATGGTCTTTGCAGGCGGCATGAAATATTAAATTTGAATTTGACGAATATGTCCACAAGTTTGCCTCAAAATCAGCAAATCATAAAACCCAGAAAAAAAAAAAAGAAAAAACATTATTCAGAAATAAATTACGTATATGCGTCAATAGAGGACGGTCACAAGAATCCAAATGCAGCTTACCTTGCTTGGCATTTATTAGGATAATCTCTCTCTCTGTTCTCCAATTACCGGAATTTTGGTTTTCCTTTTCTTCATATGTAACATGTTGGTCCTGATATTCACTAAATGAAAGTTTACCCGTCAGCATTTGGAAACGACTTGTCACTTCGGCAGTTGAGATGCCGCTGAGCTTAAGCACTTCAAAGAAAACGACGACTATTCATTTTGTTTACACAAATTATTTTCAACCGGTCGTTTGAGGAAAACATGGGAGTCAGTGAACGAAAAAAAGTGCAATTCCTGCCGAAGCCCAGAGCCCAAGCCCATAACAATAACCGTCATCAACTCACCATCATCAATACAGACATATAACACAAGCCGATCAGCTTTACCACTAATTCAATTGAACTGCTGCCCATAAATTTAAAATGCTAGCTCTTGGTTATGCGTTTTCACTTACAATATAAATGAGATGTTTGAGGAGAAATTCCTGGATTTAATCGCTGTTTACGCAAACTCCAGTATATGTAAATATAAAACAATACCATTTTTCGCCTTTGAATAGGGTAATCTGACACATGGTGATCCTATATCTATTTCAGCTTCTTACTGAAGTCAGCGAGCTGGAGAAGGTGAATCCTGGGAATGCTGGCTGCTTCTTCTCTCTCTTTCTGAGTGTTGTAACCCCAATCCCCTGTTCAAACTGATCAATCTTAGCAACCAAATTGAGTAGATATGTTGTGTGCACAGCATCCCTCAAAACTAAAGATAGAAGGACAAAAAACAAAGGTACAGCTAACAGGAGATAAGATGATACCCAAGTACAAGTTCCATCCATCCAATTCTGGTTCTTTTATGACATTCTTTAGGGTTGCAAGTCGATCTTCCACAAAACTGAAATATAGCTTAGCAGAGTCAATTTTTCATTTTTTTATTCAAGTTTAAAAGATAGAAAAAAATTAATGAGATGCCAGAAGATCGCAAAATTGGCAAAGGCCCATCAAGAGAATAATTAATGACCAAAAGCAAGTCATCAAGACATCTTACTGCAGTGTCAGCCCCCGGTGTTCTGGTTTCTGTTGAAGTTGCTTCAGCACTTTCACCTTGGGACTGAAAACAGCAATCAGAATGAGGGCATGAATGAAGTAAAAGAACTCCCTAAGTACTGGAAGCAAAGAGCCAGCATAACAGCTTAGCTTTCCCAATAACATTCAAGAATTACATACTAACCCAGTTCCCAAACCATATATTCTTTCCGATGGAATTGTTACACCAGCAAGCTCGCGCAATAAAGCATCTGCAAACCGGCTCTGAAACAATGGAGAACAAGGGAAAAGGGGTAAAGGATTAAGACAATAAAAATGTTTTCAATATCTTCAAATCCCCAAACTTATTTCTTCCCTTCCAAAACCTGATAAGGATTGAAATGTTTTGAGTTCCAATGTCACAAGAAGCCAATTTTTATTAGGTTAAAGATACAAAAGGTAACACGTCATACCTGTTTCGTGGTGACAATATAAACCTTAGAGCTTGCAAATTTTAGAGCATCAGCAACGCCTGGGTAGAATCTGCAGAAAAGGCACCCTCTAGTCAGATAGAGAGCTGATCATTATGCATTACAACAAACAGAATGTTACATCACATAACAGCTTTTGCATTACAGAATATTTGGTGAAAAATCCGTAGAAGCTTATTCAGAAAGATATAACAACTACTCCACAATATCAAATGCTACCCAGAATGATAAAGCCTAAACCTTACATGCAGTGTTCAGAGAGAAATGCATAATGGTCAAGTTTATCATTCAGAGATATTATATTCTTGTCAAACACTTCCTAAATTGAAGCAAAATTTGCTATGTATAAAGCCTAATATCTCCTACATGCATAGGAATTGAACTCCGAAAATTCCTAAAACAATAACAATGAAAATGGTACCTTTTGGTCCCATAAAGCTTTCGGTTCAACTTGGTAGAAAAATAATTGTGTCAGTGATTTGTTCCATCTCTAAAAACTTGAATGAAATATTTGAAATACCTGTTTGCTCCAATCCATGCTGGTAAGTCCTTATACATCCATTCATCCCTGACCTTTCCGAAGAGATTTATTAAATCATCTCTATGATTCTCACCCCATTCTTCCATAATGACAGGTTTTAGCTTCAACCAGTTTTCCAATATCCGCTCTACTGTTAGTCCCTCTGCTACCTTGCAAAATTTTGAAAACAAGCATCATACCAATTATAAGAAAATGAATACAGGTTAAAATAATTTTAAAATTAGTGCTATCCTTGCCAAGAACAAAGATAAAATGTCGAAATAACTTTAGTTTTTCTATATCCAGCAGATAATTTTAAGCAAGATTTCTGCTAATATATACACACCGAGGACTTCCGAATCAATGGTATTCTCATCTCAAGGAGCAACCTCACAAGTAACAGATTTTCATATCCAGTTTCCACCACAGGTCGCACCTGCCACAACACAAGCCATTAATTATCTTCAGACATCAAACATAATCTCTTTTCACTCACTTTTTCTGTCATTGCAAATGAAAAATGATAAACAAGAAATTAGAAGGCAACAGGTTCATGTCTTTGTAGAGAATTTGTCAACGATGCTTTCTAATCAAATAAAGCTGCTTAATAGTATTGGAATGGGCGTTGCAGAATCAATTAACACCAGAAGCAATGGTGTTCATGTTGTCACCATAAAAGTAACTAATACCAACATCTCTACAACACATCATAAACAATCATCAAATCATTGACAAAGTAAATACATTTAGGCATTCAGATTGCTATTTCTTTTTTTTTTTTTCTTTTTTCTTTTTTTTTTTTTTTTGGTTGTTCATGTTGTCACCATAAAAGTAAACTAATACCAACATCTCTACAACACATCACTACAAAACAATCATCAAAATCATTGACAAAGTAAATCTGACGTTTAGGCATTCAGCATTTGGCTATTTCTTTTTTTTTTTTTCTTTTTTACTTTTTCTTTTGTTTTTTTTTTTTTCTTTTTTCTTTTTTTTTTTTTTTTGGAAATTCACATTAGGGGGTGAAATTTTGAACAAAAATCCTGAAATGAAGAGAGAACTCAAAATAGCACCTTTAAATATTTGGGAACGTGAAAATAATCATATAGCTTCAATAAGTTAGGTAAGGACTTACAATATACATCTGATCAACAATCCACTCTTCCGTGGTCGAATCCACACCGTCAAACAAACTCGGCCATCTCACTTTGGCAGCCTATTAAATAATGCATAAAAAAATAGAAAGTAAATTCAGAATAAGAGGAAAAAAAGCACTACCCATAAAATGAAGAAAAACTAAAAATTCAAATCCAGCTTTCATTTCCGAAGTTTTTCGTGTTCCAATTTATCAGCAGAGAAGAGGATAGAAGGAGAGGAGACCTTGACTGCAGAGAGAGAGCTTTCGCCGCAGCTGTCACACAGAACTCCGTCGAAGTCCAAGGCGTAGAGATCCCCCATTTTCTTCTCGGTCTCTCTGTTGCAGTTCTAAAGATAACACGCTCTCATCGTTCTTCAGTACCCGCCACTCGACTTCTTATATACCTGTTTTACCCTTGCTGCTTAATACAAACAGACATATGCGACTGCGTTTTAATTTGTTCTAGTGACATGTCGTTTTGAGCAAATAGGACATGGTTCCGATTCCGACCGAATTAAATATTTGAATAGTAAAAAAAAAATTACAATACCTTATACCCACGTCACACGCAAGCACTCACTTAATACATTTTTCAGAATTTTAATTTTTACTTATGAAACCGGTAGCCACGATTGTTCCCTACGCGTAGGGCAGTTATCGGCCAGATAGGGTAAACTAGATATTATCCAACGAAACGACGCACTTTACCTACTAAGGCCAGTTAACCTCATCCCTCCACCCAAAAACAACCGGTTCCGCGGGTTACTCGATTTCCTTGCTCGAAAATTCCAGTATAATATGCATAAAGCTAGTCTCTGTATTTTTCTCTAGGCGGTTTCAATCTCATCTAAACGTCATAATCTTCATCTCCGATTCCCGGTTCTCGTCGCAGATCTCTTTCGCTTGCAATTCTGTGAGTATTATGCCTGAAATGATCTCTGTTGCTTGTTACTGTTTTTTTTTTTTTTTCAAAAGATCTTATCCTCTTGAGCACTTTTGATTATGATTTTTTTTTTTTTTTTGATTTGATGATTTATTGTTTTTCCTTGAAGTTGTGCTCAATAAGTTCTTTGAATCCTCCTGGTGTTTTATTTTGATTGGTTGTCTATGATATTCAAAGCTTGTTGGTTTACTCGATGACTAGATTAGGTTAGGGTTCTTTTTTTTTTTTTTTTAAATCGACTGATTATTTTGATTGGTTGTCTATGATATTCAAAGCTTGTTTGGTTGTACTCGATGACTAAGATTAGGTTAGGGTTCTTTGATTTTTTTTTTTAAATCGACTCGATTATATCTCGTTTTTTTTTTTTTTTTAAATCGACTGATTGATCTTATTCATTGCTGTTGAGTTTTTGTGATTGGTAGAAATCATCTTTGTCATCGATTATATTGACCATGCATAATAGCATATATGATAAATTCTTAAAATATATACTGGTATTATGTTTTGGTTGAGGTCTGATATTCTTTGAAAAACTATTCCCGGCTTGTATTTTGAACGTCATCCTGATCATCAGTGTTTAAACTTTTAATATGTGTTGCATTAGGATAACCGAGTCTTCAAACAATTAGGTTATGCATTTGACTGATTTTTTAATGAATTCGAATGCTTGAGTGTTTGGTAGATTTTGTTGTCTATATAATTTTGGAATTCATTTTCTCCTAAAAAAAAAAAAAAAAAAAAAAAAAAAAAAAAAAAAAAAAATCCACCTAGAATTTTTTTTAACGTAATTTTCATGGCCTTAACTTTCATTTCTGTGGCTGATAAGCAAATTCCGCAAACATGTGGGCGACAAAAATATCACTTGCTTTTGGTTGCAAAAAAAAAAAAAAAAAAAAAAATAATCCACCTAGAATTTTTTTTAACGTAATTTCATGCCTTAACTTCATTTCCTGTGGCTGATAAGCAAATCGCAACATGTGGGACAAAATTATCACTTGCTTTTGTTGCGCTGTAATCTTCTCAAAGACTTCTATATTTTCTCAATATTTTGAGTATGTATGTAAATTCAGGAAGGTATAAGGTCTGGAGGATGGCAGATAATGAAGGAGGGGAGAATGTTCCTCGCGGGAATGAGTGGGAAGTTGTTTCACTTACGGCATCAACATATGCTGCTGCTCCTGGTCCTAATGAAGTGGAAATGAAAGATGAAAACAAGGATAATGCATATGTGGGGGATGAAGCAGAAACTTCCCGTGCCTTGTTCATGTCTGGGCACTTTGTCTTTCCACCAAGCCAGCATGAGAATTTACCACTGGAACGAGATAAAAGCGAGATTTTAAATGAGCAAGTTGGGAAGAATGCTGCCTCTGAACTTGACGTGCAAGAAGGGGATAAATCTGGTGGGAAGGATGACGAAATTTGGGCACCGAAGCATGAATCTGAAGAGTTCCCTGGGATACAGATTTTTGATGAAAAGGGTAACAGACTACCCATCTCTGGGGCTGAATTTGAAGAAAGCATGACTCTTCCAGAGTTAAATCTAAATGAAAAGGAACAGAGTTTATATAGTGCTGCCACATTTAGTTCCTTCCATAGTGAAACTGAGCTTGGTGGTTCAGCCACATATGAGGATAACCTGGGTATTCATGAAGCAAGTGAACAATCTGAGCAGGAATTGGATTTCTCTACAGATAGTTCTCACTCTCAAACTGCTAAAGATGATCAATACGATGGGTCTGACCTTCCATGTGAAGCTTGGTGGAAGAGAAGGGCAGCTTCCTTCTATACTCATGCAAAAGATACGAATGCATTTTGGTCCATTTTCGTTGCAGCTGCTGTCATGGGTCTTGTGATTCTTGGACAGCGCTGGCAACAAGAAAGGTGGCGGGCTTTGCAACTCAAGTGGCAGGCCAGCATCAATGAGGTACTTTTCCCCAAATTTTTTCTTTTATGTTATTTAGGCTGAAGGTTAAATGGATTTTACTATAGAGAGACGGACTGCTTGAATTAAGCTTGTTCTCTTCTATGGTATTCTGACATTGCATCCTATGATCACTGGAAAGACAGAGAGATGGAAACACTGTACTGAAAGGTCCTCTAAATTTATTAGTTGGAGTGATTTAATAGGTATTCCCCATTTCATTATATGGAAGTCACGGCTTGGGTTGGTTTAGCACTTTTTGTTGGTATCTTTCTGTCCGCCGAATTTTCACTGACTTGTGCATATTGCTATTACGCGAGTATCGAAAGTAACCTACCACTACTACCAGCAATGAAACAACCAGAGAATTTGCTCTTTACAACCTCAAAGATTTGCACCTTTGGTAATGAGAAAATGTAGTTGTTTGAAACTCCAAGTTTTGCCAGTGTTTGTTACCTGCTTACTATTATGATGTGTTGCTGATGTCTTGAGACTCGTACTCATGATTTTTTATACCTGGAGATTCTACTGGCAGTGACATATGATTGTTTTGCGTTTTTGACAGAAAAGTGGCAGGATGCTGGGACCTATATCACGACTTAAGGATGTGATTGTGGGTGGCCATCGACGTATAAGAGGAAGTTCCTCGAATGAAAATTAAGACGATGACGAAAAAGTTGGGGAGAGTATCTCAAGGTGGCTATTAATATATTTTGCTGTGTGGTTGACATATTTTTCTGATGACAAAGATGAATAATTGCGTGTTGAAAGTTTGTGGTGGATGTGCTTTTGTAATTATGGTGGCATATTAGTTTGTGGCTCAGTGTTGCAATTTATTTATCTTCGCACATATTGGTACGTTCTAACTAAGCATCTAAACCCATAAATTATGATTCTATTTCACTTTGGAGTTATTACCGGCAATGATTTGTTTTTTCTGCCCGAAATTAAAAATTACGGTGTATCAAGCGGCATTCTTTTGTGTTAAAGATAATTGACAGTTGAGTTCAATTCTTTAATGAATTTCAATTGAAATAATCGAATATTTTTATATAAACAATTCAAATCACAATAAATCATACTTTTTCTATCATGGAAATTGTCAAATATAATTGGATACGGTAATTAATGAATAAAATTGATTCATCAAGAGTTAAATAAGTAATTATATATAGTCTTTGTGCTAATGATTATAAAATATATTAGCTATAAGAAATTGACTGTTAAATGATTAATATTGAATTTGGATATAAAATTTTTTAAAATTATTTGCTTGAATTTTTAAATTTAGGAATTGAAATAAAATACTTCAGGTAAGTTTCAGGATTTAAATCTCAAAAATCTAACGTTACGCATAATAGAACGGTTAAAATCAAAACCAATTGTAGCTTCCGCAAGATGGATCCACGTGTTATCAAAGGTGGTGCTAAATTTTGTAGTTTATCCGTGTACCTGCACCCGTGGATTGTTTTTGCTCATGGCGGGAAAAAGCGTCTCACATTTTTATTTCCTAAATTTTTTTCTTCTCAAATATCCATAGCCACCGTACAACGAAACTAGGGTTTCGACTGCATAATTACATCAACGAAGCGCCGGTTTTTCTATACTCCGGCAATTTCTCCTACCGATCTTCTATCAGGTAATCCTCGATCTTCCATCTTCTTCATTGCATTACTTTTGTGTGTCTCTGATTAGTTCCCGAGAAAATGGATATAATGTACAACGTTTCTATTTCGTCTATCAACTCAAGTATTGCTTAACTGGTGCAGCCAAGGCTTATTTTCCATCCACTCCCGTTTCAATTGGGTTTCTGTTTTCATTTTTCCTAGTGTTGTTTTTAAATGTTATTCGTGTTGTTATGAGCAATTTTTGGGGTCTTTTTGATTTTTCTATGTAGTTTAGCAGTTCTCGTATTACGTTCTACTTTATCAGGCAATATTTCTTGTTTATTTTTATTTTTTATTATGCATTTTTGTTGCTCGCTAAAAAATTGACCCACATTTATAAATTTATGCTCCAGAAAACATGATTCCTGCACAGTTCTAATGAAATGGGTAAAGAGGAAAGTCCAAAGATTACGAGAAGAACAACTCGGTCATCTTCTTCAGCTGCTGCTACTGTCGATGAGATTGAGAAAACTAAAAGATGTGAACCCTACAATCCCACAATCAATGATCTCGTATTTGGAGGGGAACGCCTGAGCTTTGATGATCTGCTATCTAGTTTTCCTGCTAGAGGAGGTCAGATTTCTGAGATAGTACGACTTTTGGGTCCAGTGAACTCCCCCATGCTTCCTATATTTATTTATGGAGGTGCTTCTACTGGAAAAACCAGTATCATTCTCCAGATTTTTAGGCATCTAAATCGCCCTTTTGTTTATGCAAGCTACCGGACTTGTTATAGTCCTCGCATCTTGTTTGAATCCATTTTAAATCAGTTGTTGCTTCATACAAAGAATGCAGCCAATGGGTATTCGAGTTCAAAGCGGTGTGAAAGGCCATCTGATTTTGTTAATTTTCTTCGTGAAGCATTGGTGAGCGTCATTGATGATCTCAAGGGGAATTCAGGGAAATTAAGCTCAAACAACTTGGCTTCACGGCCCGATGGAAGTATGCTCTACTTGATACTAGACAATTTGGAGCTTGTTCGCGGTTGGGATAAAAACTCCACTATATTACCTTTTATGTTTAAGCTTTATGATATCTTGAAGATGCCTGAACTGGGGCTTATATATATTAGCAGTACTTCACCTGATACATACTACTCAACTATGGGATATATAGAGCCTACTCCTGTTTATTTTTCAGAGTACATGGAAGAAGATCTTCGCCAAATTTTCCTGAGAAACCAAGCAAATAGAAAGCTATATTCCTTCTTCCTTGAGTAAGAATGTTATTTGCTTTCTTTCTGTGCTTTCTCCTCAATCTTAGCTTTACATCATATAATTATTAAATATTCTTTTGACTTTTGTCTACAGTGTTGTGCTCAGACCATTTTGTAGAATTACTAGACGAGTGGATGAGTTAGCTACTGCCTTTTCACCATTGTTCAGAAAATATTGTGAACCCTTAAGAGATTTGGAACATGTACCTAATGAAGAGATGAAAAGAAGGCTGTTCAGTCATTTCCAGCCACATATTGCCCCTTCTTTGAATGAGATATTTTATGTTCCCTCTCAGTCTTCACTTGAAGTTGAATCCAACAAGGAGAAAAGGCAGAAAGGCAGCATAAGAAAGTCAGGATGCAGTGAAGATCTTGCCAAGGTTGATTTCCATATGTCGACTTCTGCAAAATATCTTCTTATTTCAGCATTCCTTGCTTCAAGAAACCCAGCTACCCTTGATGCATCCCTCTTTGATTCAACTGGGGGTTCAGATAATCGCAAACGTAAAAGAAAGTAAGTGCATTAACAATTTGGTGGATTGCTTGGTAATGCATCAATCTGCACTTCTATTTTTTTCCCTTTCTTTGGTTAACCTGGAATTGCTCCGGTTGTTTTTAGAATAAAAACCCGCTAGCAACTTTCTTATTTCTCTGTCATTTGCGCCAGGCAATGGAGAATGCTTAGTCTGGCATAAATAATATATGCTAGGTTCCAGTTCACATCTTCTTATCAGCATTACTGATACTGTTAGCTTTAGATGTCCTGCCATATGCTTATGATTGAGGCATGTGTTGATTTGAATGTCCTAAAACAGTTTTCATTTGGTTAAAATTGTTATTGCAAGATCTCACTGTTCTATACTATTTACTAAGATATGGAATGATGCTTATCATAGAAATAGGTACATCCTTAAAGGAGCATATTTTTGTTACTCTGTAGCCAAAAGAGCTAGTACCTCATTTCACCTTGCAGAACACATCATGCCAAACTTTATATTATTGTCTTGTTGAAACATTTTCTGCTTAGGGCTTCTGAAAAATCTATGGAGCAGAAGGAAGCAGCAGAACAGGAATTACTCATGAAAGGACCTGGGACTTTCCCATTGGAGAGGTTACTAGCAATATTTCAATGTATATCCTCTGTTATTGGCATTTCACTTGATGAAGAAGAACAAGAAAATGATTTGCTTGGAGTTGAAGCTGGGGATAGTGGACTAACGTCTGATGTTCTGATGCAATTATCCAGCCTATGTGATGCTAATTTTATTATTAAAGGAGGAAGTTGCCCTTTGGAGGGTTCAACTAGATACCGGTCTACAGTTTCAGAAGAGTTGGCTTTGAAGGTAACCCTTTTGAGTTTCTGACATTGAATTCTACACATCATTATTCTAGGAACAAAATCATGATTTCGCCATTTGCTTTCCTCGTTATACAGTTGTACTATTCTATCATCTTTGTATGTATAGCAAATAGCAGGAGCCTGATGTTCCTTCTTTTTATTTAAATATATTTCCCTACTCATTCCCAAATTTTGCTTGAAATCTATTGTAGGTAGCTAGAAGCCTGAAGTTTCCCCTGCCAAATTACTTGTACAGAAGATAAAATCTGATAATGTCATTGAGTATTCCTTAAAGATCAACCATACAGAAGCTTGAGAGGTAACGAGCTTTTATTGGCTACAGTCTCTGACAACAATCCTAAGTTTTTATGGAATGTACATGTGCATATTTAGGTTATCATGACATCTTATTACTAAGTGAATTGAATAATTATTGTAATCCACTGAAAGAAGAAAGGGGGCTGGTTTAGAAAAGCTAATTTAGTATCTGACAAGTGACAACATATTAGTTTCTGGAAAGGCAATGACTTGCTGTTATTTTTCACCTCCTGCAATGCAATGATTGTTTGCTTGTTCTTTTTTATTTTCTGGATCCTAGTTCTGGAGTCTTGTTTGTTTCGAAATGTAGACAGTAATTTGCCATATATCGGCTGATGTGTCTTTAACCTTGTCCTAGATGAACTTCTTGCTTCTATTTGGCCGTTCTTCTTAGTAACTGTAATATCCGAGATAAGTGCAAGCTAGTTCTAGTTGATTTTAGGTGAGATGGAATTAAAGAAAGGGAAGGACAGGCTATCTGTCTATGTCCCATATATGGTGGGTCTATCCCTATAAAAGTTTTAGGGAAGCTACTAGTATTATGACAGGGGGGTAAGGTTCAAACACAACTCAATTTTGTCTTTGTCAGTGCTTTCGAAATTGGACGGACTGGCTAGTAAAGAATTTATGTAGAAAATGAAATAAGAAGGTGAAATCACTGAGGCTGTGTAGTTGGTTGGTCACCTAATTAAATTATAAAGTACAAATTGTTTTGGACTTGATAACAACGGTCATACATTAAGTAAATAAAAAGGAACGGAAAATAAAATCTCAATTCGCCATCCATGGTTGACTTAGCATAAGAGAGGGGAAGGAAATAGGAAAAAGAATAGAAATTCCTAAGGGAGGGGTTAGAATTAAAGGGGGAAAAAAAAAGATTATGCCTTCATCTTTTTTCAAAACATTAATTTAAATATAATATTTTCATATTGATCCTTTTAGTGATTCCCCTTGTAATAATGTTCCGTACCAAACGCACATTTACATTTCATTTCATTTCATTTTGAAAATTTAGTTTAGAAGTTTTGAAGATCTTCTAACTAAAATGAGTGAAGATGTAAAAAAATGATACAAGTGTAGTGTCTTTGGACACACAAATATATAATAGTATTGTTATTGTTGTTTTTGGGTAGTCATGTCATATGCTTTGTCATCCACCTTCTAATTATATACCCTAACTGATTGAATAAACTTCTTTTTCACAATAAGTTATCGAAAACGACTATGAGTTCTGGACAATTCTTATTTTTGTGTTGCACTGTTATGAATGCATCTAAAATTTGATGCAGACGCCTGAAATTTGTCATTGTTTCTCTTGAAAAGTTCATCACATGCCAAAAAAAAAAAGACCCTAACTTCCTCTCCATCAACCGCTCACCTAAGTTAAGCCAATAGCCACACGTTTTCTCCATATTTTCTTCTTCTTTTTTTAATGTGTAAATATAATTTATGGTCTTTAAAGTTTAAAAAACAAAGGCACCGAAGATGGTCAAGGTCTATAAAAAATGGCAATTTTTCCTTTGTTTTTTTTATTTTTATATTTTTTGAATGAATGTATGAGTATGAGTCTGCAGATATGCCTTGTTTGAAGCGAAACAGAAAATGTCAACCCTTGTGATCGACTTCCAATGACATTCATATTTATTGATCCCAAGTCAACTTGATGACACCCACACGAGCACAAAGCATGTTTCAATCGCATAACATGAAAATCTCCATTGTCTTTCAAAACATTCAATCCCCCATTTGTTAATGAATTCTATCTAGTTGTGAATCTATTTTTGTTTGTAATTTATTATTATTATTATTATTACTATTAGTTTTGATTCGTTATAATAAGCCTATTTGATACAGCAGATGGGATTCATTTTCGGATTGAATTTTGAATATTGTGAAAAGAGGTAGCTTCATCGACCTTTGTAAAATATCACCTACTTACTAATTTTGGTCCCCCACCCATTTATTTACTTTATCTCATAACATCTGTAGTTTTTCAATTTTTATATCAGTAGATCAGGATAGGTCAACTGTCCTTGAATCTATAATTTCATCTTGATCACCTTACCCACATCTTCTTGCATCAAATTTTACCAATTTCGATTCCTTTTTTTTTTTTTTTTTTTTTTTTTCAATTGACATTATATTATTGATTCCCAAGTCAACTTGATGGACACCCACACGGAGCACAAAGCATGTTTCAACTCGGCATTAACATGGAAAAATCCCATTGTCTATTCAAAACATTCAAATCCCCCAATTTGTATACAATGAATTCTATCTAAGTTGTAAGAATCTATTTTTGTTTTGTAAGTTTATATATATTATTATTATATTACTATTAGTTTTGATTCGTTAATAATTAGCTATTTGGATACAGCAGATGGGTTCATTTTCGGAATTGAATGAATTATGGTGAAAAGAGTAGCTTCATCGGACCGCTTTTGTTAAAATTATCACCTACTTTAACTAATTTTGAGTCCCCCACCCATATATTTAACTTATCATCATAACAAATCTGATATAAGTTTTTTCAATTTTTATATCAGTGATAGATACAGGATAGGTCAACTGTCCTTGAATCTAATAATGTCATCTTGATCACCTTACCCACATCTTCTTGCATCACACATTTACCAATTTCGATTCCTTTTTTTTTTTTTTTTCCCTATTTTTTTATCATTATATCATTAACCGCACGTTTTAAGAACTCGATTGGGATTTTCTTTTTTTTTTTTTTTTTTTTTTTTTTTTTTTCTATTCATAACCTGCACGGTTTTAGACTGATTGGGATTTTACTTTTTTTCAAATCGAGTTCGAATTCAAGACAAACATTAGAAACAGATTCTAACGTCCTGTATTCGTGTTTTTATGTATGAATTAAGTGGAATGCGGTTGACGCATTCGAATGAGCTGTACTCACTATCAATCGTAATTAGGAGAGTATAAACTAATTGTAATTTCCTTTTTATTTTTTATAGTAAGGAGGTTTAATATCTTTTATAAATCTCCTTCTAGCCGTAGAATGTAAAAATTTTTTTTTGCCCTTCTCACAGAGTGTGCTTTTCATACATCAAACTTATGTTTTCACTCTTATAAAGATTGAAATCGTTAATTACCGGAATCACACGTTGTTGGTTTATTGTAATTCAATTTAGTACAATATAGTTAGCTAGTTCGTATAAAAGTACAACCACCCATTAGTCAATCATTTTTGTTGATCTGAAAATTGTTTAGACATTGAGAGTGGGAGTAAAGAGAAATTCTAAATTCTATCCACATGTTTGAAAAAAAAAAAAAAAGGAATGGGCATTCCAATGTGCAGACTGGTGAAGGACTTCAGGTAAGGTGAACAAAGAATGTAGATTTGACTTTCTATCATGCAGATATATCCACCACCAGCCACCAAGCATCAGAAAAGCCAGGCACACCTTTTTTTATCATAACAACAAGTATTAACAAACAAGGTCAAAACTGTGCGATAGAATCACAGATTGATTTCTTTCTTTCTTTCTTTCTTTCTTTTTTTTTAATTTTTTTACTGGGTTGAAAGTTTAATTTTCTTAGGACAAAGATAAAACTTGTACTATATAAAAACAAAAAAAATAAGCGAGAAAGCTACAATTGAATTTGAATCGGTGGTGGGTTGCTCAACGAACACTAACCAAAAGCCTCAATGACAAGCCCATTTTCCTTCTAAGACTAATTATAAAAGAAAACTTTATGTAGTTAATTTTAATTATTGTTTTAATTTCCATATGATCATACCAACAAAGCTCCTATTAAGGTCCCAAAACACAATGGACACTTGATTAGCAAAATCCTTTTTCTTTTTAAAATTTTTCTGCTTGCTTTCTCTCTCTCTCTCTCTCTCTCTCTCTGCTATATTGCCTTAGTTCCTCAACTAAACTCATTAAATTTCTCTTCATTATTCAATGCTTGAATTTAAGACTCTCCTCCTCTTGCCTGCAAAATTAGGTGTGCACAGATTATATATAGAGAGAGAGATTGGTCAATCTGTTGAGGTTTTTGCTAGATTAGTTTCTTAAGGTAAAAAAGAAAAAAGAAAAAAGAATAGATATCAATGCCGGTTTTTGCCTTCAAAGACTCAACGACCTCCTTCTCATTGCATTTATGGGATTAGAGAGAGAGAGAAAGAAAGCAATGGTGCAATTTCAAGATTCACAGTCTGGCCTCAATTATTGCTTTCACTACATTTCACCTATAAATCTCCTCTTTCATTACTCTCCTTTTTGTACTACTACTGCTGCTGCTGCTATCTTCTGTCACTCCACATAAACTAAACATGCACCTTCACCTCCTTCATTTCTTGTACAGTTTGAAAACCTAAAATCTCCATTTCAAAAAAAAAAAAAAAAAATGCCCTTCACCTTCCTTCATTTTCTTGATTACGAGTTTATGGAAACCTAAAAATCTCCATTTCAAAATAAAAAAAAAAAAAAAAAAAAGAGATTTTGGGTTTTCTTTCTTTTTCATTTTCTAAGGTACATTTTTTTATACATATATATATATATATATACACCTATATATACAGGAAAAGCAAAGCAAAAGTTTTTAGCTTATTTTTGCTTTCTGGGATATGCCATGGATATATCTACGGCATTGTTGCTTTTATCGGCCGTCACTGCTTATCTTTTGTGGTTCACCTTCATCTCACGGTCGTTAAAGGGTCCGCGTGTATATCCCTTATTGGGTAGTCTTCCTGATTTGATTGAGAATAGTGATCGCTTGCATGACTGGATCTGCGACAACCTCCGCGCGTGCGGTGGCACGTACCAGACCTGCATCTGTGCAATTCCGTTTCTCGCTAAGAAGCAAGGTCTCGTGACTGTCACGTGTGACCCGAAAAATATAGAGCATATCCTGAAGACCCGGTTTGATAATTACCCCAAAGGTCCGACGTGGCAGGCTGTGTTTCATGATTTTCTCGGAGAAGGGATCTTCAACTCGGATGGCCAAACGTGGCTGTTTCAGCGTAAGACTGCTGCACTTGAATTTACCACCAGGACTCTGCGCCAAGCCATGGCTCGCTGGGTGACCCGAGCCATAAAGTTGAGATTCTGCCCAATTCTTGAAGCCGCCCAGCTCAATGCTGAGCCGATTGATCTTCAAGACGCACTGCTTCGGCTCACGTTCGATAATATATGTGGCTTGGCTTTTGGGAGGGACCCACAAACATGCTCGCCGGGGCTGCCAGATAACAACTTTGCTACGGCTTTTGATCGAGCCACTGAAGCCTCTCTTCAACGGTTTATTTTGCCTGAAGTATTGTGGAAGCTAAAGAAATGGCTTCGGCTGGGCATGGAAGTTAGCTTGAGCCGAAGCCTAACCCAGCTTGACGACTACCTAACGGCGGTGATAGATGCACGTAAAAAAGAGTTATCAAACCAAAAAAATGACGGAAACCCACACGACGATTTGCTCTCAAGATTCATGAAGAAAAAAGAATCCTACACAGACACTTTTCTTCAACACGTGGCACTCAATTTCATCCTTGCTGGACGTGACACGTCATCAGTTGCTCTCAGCTGGTTCTTTTGGTTGGTCATCCAAAATCCATGTGTGGAAGAGAAAATATTGACTGAAATATGCACTGTCCTAATCGAGACACGTGGCGATGACGTGTCAAACTGGTTTGATGAGCCGTTATGTTTTGAAGAAATTGATAGCTTGGTTTACCTAAAAGCAGCATTATCAGAAACCCTAAGGCTGTACCCATCTGTGCCTGAAGACTCTAAGCATGTGATCGCCGACGATGTTTTGCCGGACGGAACATTCGTCCCGGCAGGATCGTCAGTGACGTATTCCATATATGCAACGGGGAGGATGAGGTCAACTTGGGGTGATGACTGCTTGGAGTTTCGTCCAGAAAGGTGGTTATCTCCCGATGGAAAAAAGTTTATAAATCATGATTCATATAAATTTGTAGCATTTAATGCAGGGCCAAGAATCTGTTTAGGGAAAGATTTAGCATACTTGCAAATGAAGTCGGTGGCGGCAGCGGTTTTGCTCCGGCACAGGTTAACGATTGTACCAGGGCATAAGGTAGAGCAGAAAATGTCATTAACATTGTTTATGAAAGATGGGCTTAAAGTTAACGTGCATAAGAGGGATTTGGAGGGAAGTGTAGCAAGACTGATTAAGAAGGTGAAAGAAGGAGAGTTATTGCATGGGAATAATAAAAAAAACAATGAAGGAATAGGCGTTAGATGTAACGGCGTTAGCGGTGGTGGTGGTGGGACTGGCGAAGAGGTGGTAGTTGGTGTTGTTTAAGGTTATTGGTGAGTTTGGTGGTGGGTATTTAAGGAGATGGATCGTACTGCATGTGATACTGAGGAAAGAAGAGTCTTTGAATTGAATTGAATTGCATGTGGGGAAGGGCAAGTATAAGGCTTAACTGTGATTTATGTTTCTCACGAGTGTTTTGAAGACACAGAAATTAAGTTAATAGAGCTACAACTTATATTATACATACTATTGTCATAAACCATCACATAATTTAAGTTTTATTATTTCAGAGAGAGAGAGAGAGAGAGAGAGAGGGGAAAGAGAAGAGTAGAGTGGGTTTTTAAACTAACTCTTGCTTTTAGTGGGCAGTCATTGTGAAATTTTATAAATTCTTTATTTATGTTATTGTTTATTTATAATTTGGGCTTTCAACTGTTGGTTGGATCTAATTAAAATTCGCAAGTGCTTTTTAAAGGATTGGATACGAGAATAGTTAATGCTCTTCAATTGTTACATTGTTATGATATGCGTTTTTTTTGTCCAGTATGAATAATCATTCTGGTTGAATTAGAAGTTGCCTGTGTAGTGCACTCATAATTTATTGTTATTTCTTTGAAGCTTTTTTTTTTTCTCTTTTGGCTTCTTTCACCAAAACTTTCCTACCAGAAACTTCAGGGCTGTGTCGTTTTGTTTCCTTAGATCATGTCGTAGTTTCATAGTTTTCATGTAAATGTAAGCCCAAACAAGGGCCCAATAAGTACGTATGTCATTTTTTAATAAAAAGGATTGTTCGCTGTAATTGTCCGATCATCTACATCAATGAACAAGCAAGCAAATGAAATGGAAGGACTATTTTCCTGTTAAGCAAGAAAGAAAAGGACATGATTTGATAAGAAAAAGAGTCTTTTAAAGCCAACCAAAAACATGTCACAGCAAATTAAGGGCACATGCAGCAAAACTTCAACTTGGGCATCTTAGCCTTTAATATTTTCAGGAAGTTTCTTACAATTGCATATGTATGGTGTTTTTTTGTTTTTTTTTTTTCCGCCCTCATCTTTGTCTCAGTACTGCAATTTCTTTGTGGTTCGATCTCCTTAGCTACGTAGACTGCATCTTCCTTGTATACTTGCACTTTTCTGATCTAGTCGAGGACTTTCTCTCCAGTTGAGAAGAAGTTCCAGACTAATGTGCCTATTATGTACAATACAACTGCCACCTTAAACACATCATCCCAAGATCCTGTAACAAAGTTTGAGATGTAAACAACAAACCTTACATGCGTTCAGATACAGTAAATTAGGACTGCTTTTAGTTTATTTACCTCTTTGGAGAATATAGCCAGTTGCAGCAGTACCAAAGACACCGGCAAGCACTCCTGCAGTATTTGATAGTCCTAATAGAACTCCCTGTGATTGAAGTTTTCTATTAGACAACTAATTGATAAACATCTTAAAATTATGTTAACAAGAAAGGGCGCATGAAATTTTCTCAAATGTTTATGGGTCATTGACTCATTGCTGTAAGTTAAATTGATCAGCCACCATGGTTAAACTGGACGACAATTTGGAGATTGTGGGGGGTGTAGTGTTTAGTTATTAACAATAAAATGAATTGCATCACAAAATTAATGAAATAACTCACAGCATAACGAGGGCCAATGTCTTGGTGATTGGAATAAAGACCAGATTGTGAGAATGCATCAGATCCCTGCCATTACAAACTATATAAAGCTCAATTTATTAAAGGTTTTAACAAACAAAAAAGCTCATCAAACTTCACAGCCCACAAACTTGGAGGCAACACTTGCACTTGGTTATTCATGTCATTTCACCAGTGGATTTTCTTACTTAACATGGCACTGGACGTCCTAGAACATTTTAGATCTTATGAGGAAATTCTCTTTCTTTTCTTTTTCACCATGTAGTGCATATTCACATTGAATGATCTCATTCAAGTTTCAAGATGACAAAAGAGTACAGCATGCATATCCCTGCTTGGCCTTCCATAGTGTTTTGGCCTCCAAAGTTCATTTGCTAGCTGCCCAATTAATTTGATTCGACTACCTTTCTCTTTTTGGGTCCATGAAGATATCTAGTAGGCATGGCCCGTCCCATGAACAGACAGTTCTGAGGAACTGGGATCGCCCTGGCTGGAATCGTGCTGGTTACAGTTCTGGCACGATTCCGAGCCTTTTTCCTTTTTGGGCTGAAATAGCTGGAAACTAGCCAGCTTCAGTTCCAATATTTAGAACCAGCCTCGAGTCCTGCTTAACATTTGGACTTGCCTCAAAAACAATAAAGAGGAAAAAGAAGGGAAAATAAAGAAAAAAAAATGCATCTCTTTCTCAATTTGTTTGACAACGTATCCCAATTCAAATTTCAGATGCAGTATCAAAGGAGCTGGCCTACAGTGAAATCAATTTAGAACAAACCTGACTGCATGCCATGCATAGTACAGCCATGGCAGGAGTCTTAACATGGCTCAGCTGCGTAAGAAAGAAGGCTGGGCCTAAAAATCCAATTGATTGCATAATCTGCAATATTTAAAAGTTTCAAAGAACTATTAGTTGACTGAACAAAAAGAAAGAGCTCATAATAGAATAATTATTGCCAGGAAATGGAATGTTTCAATAACCAAATCAATGACATTTTGCATTTATTAATGCAATCGAACTGATTTCCTGCCTTTTCTTTTTCACTTTTTGCATAATCTAAAATGATGTGTGTAAAGGTGCACAGACCATTATTTTGATCTCTTCATAAAAGGCCAAAGAAATTACAGAGTCAATAAAACATACTTCAGAGTTAACTCTAAATTGTTCTCAGGATAACATTATAACTATCCATACCCTTTCGGATAACAAAAATGAGCAATGGATGATATGTAACATTACCAGTGTATAGATTTTTTATCAGAGAGAGAAAGACTACCGACCATTTTAGAATATAGTAAGAATCAGCCACATTAACATAAACTGATGTCCATGAAGAAAAAGTTGAGGCTCTTATAACATAATAAAACTAAGGGTAAGATCAATATTTAATCCTTGCCTTTCGAACTGTGGTTATGGAAAATCCTTTGCTCACAAGGGTATCGGCAATCCACCCTCCTATATTTGCAAAAAAAGCCATGGTCAACCATGGCAAGACACAGAATAGACCAGATTCAGTGAGATTGAACTTCAAAACCTGAAAACAAGCACAAAGCAGAAGGCTAATGTAAGTTCATTTATGAGATTAGCTACCATGTAATAAGATCTTGCTTTTCTGAACCAAATATTAACAGCGTCTACTACGAAATCTAGAACAAGAGAAGTGAAGCATGCACACAGCAACAGATTAATGACAATGTGTTAGATTTTAAGTGTCTATAAAAGATACGATCAGATGTGGAGAAATTAAATTAATCAGACCAATAAAATTACAAGTTGATGTTCACGAGTTCATTCCTGTTTGCTTAAATTGCAATGCATTGACGTCAAGAGAAAAATAACACCAAAATATCCAAATTTCACTCAGAAATGGTTTTGAACAAAACTCAGAACTTGAAGGGGCCACTAAAGTAAGGGCAAGAGAAAGGTTGAAGAGGACAAATAAATTGGATGTGCTATTTCTACATAAATAATATTAAAAAGAGAAATAAATAACTGAAATCACATGCATTGATGAATATCAACAACCCCGTGTAGTCTCAATCACCTGATTGTAGTATGTGGGCATCCATGTTAAAAGAATAAAGGTTCCCCAATTATGGCAGAAGTGAGAAATAATGAGAGCCCAAACAGGTGCTTTTGATAATATTAATTTCCAAGGAATGACTGAAACAGGCTCCTTTGACACGCTGCCACTGAAGATGAGTTTCTTCTCCTGTGCACTAAGCCCTGGATCTTCATTTGGTGAGCTGTATGCCTGGGGAGAAACCAGTCAAGGAGATAAAAATTTTGGAGTAACTTCCAGAGCGTGCCATATCCATCCGTTTCCCATTTTATAGAAAATTCTTTCTATGTGTCTCTATAGATGGTTTCCTAGTATGTATTTTCCAAGGATTATCAATACCAGAATAGAAAATAGTGCAGTGTAGTTGGCCCTTATACAAAGTTTTCGTCAATACAATTAGAAATAAATAAATTGTGAGTTACTATTATAAATTTTGTTTTAATGTTCTCCTAATGATCTCTCTTGCATACCAAAAGAAATGAATAAAATAAACTATAGAATTATGCACTGAGAAACAGCCAAGAGAAGCAGCAACCTACCTTTTGTAGCCATAAAGCAAACCAGATAGTTCCCAGGGAGCCAAATGAATAGAAGACAGATGGCCATCCAAATTTTTGGATTAGAACAGGAGAGACAGCCAATCCTGTGACAGAACCGAGATACATGCCACTATAAACTAAGGCAAGTGATCTGCTTCTCTCTGACACTGGAATCCACTTAGAGAGAATGTTATTCATAGCAGGCATAGCAACACCCTGTGTAAAAAATTACCACTATTAACAAAGATAATCCTTTATCTACTTTGGAAACATCACTCATAGAATACAGGATCCACGCTTCAGATCAAATTCTAGTCAAGCAGAAGTGAAGTTTTTAAACTTTCCCATTTCATTCAAGCAACAGCTCAATTAAAATGATTTTCACGTTACACTACATTTTCCTGTCCTGATCTTCTGGCAAGAAATTATTATGCCTTTCCTATCACAAGTTAATCATTAACTAACTGAAGACTAATAAAGTATAATAAAGAAAAAAAAAAGAAAAACTTGAGACCAACCTCACCAATCCCCATAAAAGCACGCATCATCAACAGAAAAGGGAGTCCAATTCTTGCGGCAATCGGAGTCAAAACGGTAGCTGCTGACCACCAAACGACTCCAAAACCTAACACTAGTTTTCCACCAAGTTTATCTGCCCAAATTCCTCCAAGAATCTGTGTTCAGGAGATAAAGAATTAAGGTCACATTTGAAGGACCATAATTGAAAACACCAACCCAGGTGTTTTGCAATAAGAGCTTGAAAGACGAGCATTTAATTTGAAAGAAGTTCATGGTGAAGTCACGAAACTTCACTACTTCAGACCAGAAGTGCATGCTAATGAATTAAAAACTTAATCAAATTTCTTATGTTTCTGAAATATTTTGCAAACCAGAATCATACCTGAGTCATTAGGTAGCCCCAGAAAAATGAGGACTGAATTAAACCAACCGTTGTACTGTTCCAGTTGAACTCTTGTGACATTGGAAGAATTGCAATGCTCATGTTTACCTAAAGTAACATATGTATAAGATACAGTATTAAGATAAAACAAGTAGAATGTATGAAATGTTATGAATTGCTCAGTGCAGCTTGCAATTTGTAATTAAATGAATAAGTATCACGGTCCATAAAGAAAGTTGCAGAACCATCAACTTTCAGGTTTCAAGAACTACAAAGATGTGGACAAGGTGCGAAACTAAACTACTATGGCATGAAGAAAGAAGGAGAATTCATAAGAAAATACTCACACGGTCCATGTTGCATAATAAAAATGCCATGAAACAGAGCAGTACAATCACCCAGCGCTTTGGAAACTGCTCCCACCAAGGAGAAGTTCCCTGCAGATTTCCTTCTACTAATACAGCCTCACCTGACCCCTCTGCTGAGTTCAACGAGTCCAATGAAGCTTCTGTTATGTCATATTCCTCGGATTTATAGTAAGCACGCGTTCTACTGACTCTGACAGGTCCGAAATGCAGACAATGCCCTTTGCTCTGCTGAAGAAAATTACCAACAGAGGGATATGAAGAACACTCGCATCTTCCTAGACTTCTTTGCTGAGGATAACTTGCTAAAATTTTCAAAGTCTTTTTATCCGAATGATTGGTGACTTGAAGAAACGAGGAACACGAAAATCCAGAAGTAGAAGCAACAGCCATTCGGCTACGGAACTTTCCATAGAAGATACTACCATTTGCAAGCCTCGCTGTAGAAATGCCTGATCGCTCTCCCTTATGTGAAATAGCTTGTTCTGTTTTACAAACTTTTCTTGCATATATCATAAAATTAAGAAACAATCTACCTCAAAAACTACCAAAATGCAGATATAATTACAAGAATTTTCTTGGTTTAGTTAGTCGATTAATCATCAATAAATGTAACATTTGTTTGCGCTTGAGAAATGAATCTGCACATGCCTTTCAAAAATTTAAAAATAAAAGACCAAATTACCAAAATGCTAACGCTTCATAAAAAAAAAAAAAAAAAAAAAAAAGACGGAAATAAATCCCATAGAAGATACTAACCATTTTGCAAGCCTCGCTGTAGAAATGCCTGATCGCTCTCCCTTATGTGAAAATAGCTTGTTTCTGTTTTCAAACTTTTCTTGCATATATCATAAAAATTAAGAAACAATCTACCTCAAAAACTAACCAATGCAGATAATAATTACAAGAATTTTTCTTGGTTTTAGTTAGTCGATTAATCATCAATAAATGTACATTTTGTTTGCGCTTGGAAGAAATGATAATCTGCACCATGCCTTTCAAAAAATTTAAAAATAAATAAGACAAATTAACCAAATATGCCTAACGCTTTCATAAAAAAATATAAAAAAAAAAAACAAAATCCTGGGCGGTCCTTTTGAACAAACTGTGGGAACTCAAAGCACGCCAAAATCCAGTGTTTTTCCGAAGTTCCAAAAGCTACAGATAATTATGGCCAAGAATGCATCTTAATTCAGAATCAATTAATTATCCCAATGCATTTTAGTTCCAACTCCCTGTGCCTATAATAGAATTTTGGCCGAATAACCTCCAAAAGAGGTTAAAAATCAGAAGATAAATAAAGATTACATAAAGCCAAAAAAAATAATAAATCAAAAAAGATAAACACGGAGGAAAAGATTAAATAGGAGGAAGGAATCCTCATTTACCTTTTCCCCGCGAAAAAAAAAGGAAGTTAAGAAAAAGAGTAATAAACAAATATAACACACTCGCATATAGGTGAGTGAATATAAGAGGAAGGAATTGTTAAAGAGAATAACTACAAGCAGAAAACCTATGAGCAAATTCAAGCATTTAAGCAACATTAAGCAAGCGAATAAACTATAATGCACAAATAACTTCAAAATAAACTGAATTATAAAACCATAATTTTTGAAGATATAAATAAATACAGAAAAATTAAAGAATCAACTATACAACGGCCTTTTCTATTATGTTAGATAATCTTATGATAAGTATGTAATCGCAGATTCGAAGAAAATGGTAATACACACTAACATGAGAGAGAGAAAACGGCAAAAAAAAAAAAAAAGGGCCAGAGAGGCATTACAAGTCCATGCCAGTATGGAAAGTAATTGTCAGATAGGTAATCAGTACCTGAGCTCACGATAAAAGAGACCGAGTGATAGTCCGGTTAGAATCAAGCCTGCTGGTATAGCACATTGACTTATAAGTAGATTAGAAAGTGATAAGTTACTATACATTTGATAGTAAAGAAACCGAGAGCTTAAATTGTCAAATCCCGGTATCCGTTGGTTGTCTTTCTCTGTGTATACAGCTCTGGTATCTCTCACCAAGAGAGGATAGAGAGAGAGGAAATATTATTATTTTTCTATTTACTCATTTTTTTCTTGTATTTATAATTTCAAGAGAGTGCAGGAGATATAAAAATCCGCATGGGTGTTTCATTATACTCTCCAAACCCAGGAAAGTGAGCGTTCGTATGAGAGATGACTACGTCTTAGCAGGACCATCCTCGTGACGAAATGGTATTCTAACTTTATACTTGACAACCATAGGCAAGTAAGAACATCGACTCTACCTCACATAAGGACTAAAATTCCTTGAAAAACGAGAAATTACGCCCACCATGTAAATAGAGAAACTTTTGCGGAGGTCTTGGTCGGGTTGATTCTTGGTTAAAATTAAATGAGGTAACAGAGGGAGGGGATATTATGTAGGAAATGTAATTGGGGAATCTGGACCGTGACTTACCGAGAGCATTTATCTAAACGCAAAAAGTTGCCCACACTCGGTCACCCGGAAAAGGTACCGAATTTGTTGTTGAGAGA